AAAGAAAATGTTGAATTTGTAAAACAATTAGACCTAATAGAATATATTACCAACAAGTTTTCTGAAGAATCAGAACAGTAAAAAAATGAAATAGAAGATTTAAAAAAGGAAATTCATTAGCTCAAATCTGTGAAACCTGAACTTGATCCTATAGTTTTTGTAGAATCTAGAGTAGTTGATATATCAAAATCTGAAAGTTTGCCTAGTTTAGAAAAGCACTGAAGAATTTAACCTAGTAGAAGTAGTAAAGAAGTAAAATTGATAAAACTGGTTATCAAAAATGAGCTGAAATCAGAAAAAGTGAGAGCAAAAATGAAGGCCTTGATGAAAACTATTTCCGATGAATATAAACTAAGGATAGACAAAGTTTTTTTAAGTGATATAAATAAAAAAACATTACAAAAGTTGATACTCGAATTAATAAAATCTATGGTCTTATATTTTAATCTCTCATGAAAGCAAATAAATAAATAGTTAGGTGCTTTATATCACTATAAGAAAGGAAGATATCAGAAGGTAGAAACTGAAAAACTGGATATGGACAATTATTACTTATGTGCAAATGGCCAATTAAATGAAGTAAAATTAATAATATTTTGCATTTATATTATTTTCAAATATTAATTTTTAATGAATAAATAAGAAAAGGATAAAAAAATTAAAAGTATACAGTTACTTATTGAACAAAGATCAAAGAAAGTTACCAAATATCTGAATAAATTAACTGATGTAATTAAAGAAACAAAGGTATATTCACCTGAAGAAAGTGAAACTTATTCAAAAAACTTTATTAAAAGAAGAATAAATGTATATGATTACAATTGATATTTTAAAGAGATATTTTTCAACAAAATATTTGATGCTAAATAATTACTATAATTACTTATAGTTAAAGAATTTGTTAAAATATTTGGACAAGCATTTGAAATTAATTCAAATATTCCAGCTGACTTGTAAATGATATTGTAATAATTCATATTTCTATGAAGTAATGCCATCAAAAGATTTATCAAATTGGATATATAGTTTGAAAGAGATTTCAAAATGTGAATAAGAAAAAAAGATAGGAAAAGATAAAAAAATTAACATTTAAATCTAAAAGACAAAAAATTATTAAATATAAGAAATCATTAATGTATTTAGAGGGTGAGGAACAAACTGGAGAAAGTGTATAAATAGACAAAATTTGAGGAACAATTAGAGTAGAAGAAAAAAATAAAAAATCTCAAAAAACATTTAACAAGGTAAAATCAATTGAGGCTAGTTTTAAAAGAGTCAAGTCAAAATTTTTAAAGGGAAAATAAAAGCAAGTGGAAGAAAAGAAAGAGAAGAAAGAGGAAAATAATAAATAACTTAGTCAATTGATTTTGTAAATTTTGTGAAATTTGAATTTTTTGCTGCAATTATTTTTTTGCTGAATTTTTTGTCTAGTATCAATTTTTTGCTGAATTTTTTTCTGTAGTAATTTTTTTGCTAAATTTTTTCTGCATTAATTTTTTTGTTGAATTTTTTACTACAGTATCAATTTTTTTACTGAATTTTTTGTTACAGTATCAATTTTTTGTCAAATTTTTTTTTTTTACTATAATATTGTTAAATTTTGTGTTAAAATTTTTTATCACAATATGCTGATATTTTTTTTAATAATGAATGGCAGCAATTGTAAAAGATTTGTCAATATCTTTATTATTAAAATTTTTCAAATTCAGAAATAATTTGGCAATTGAATGATATAATTTTGACTAGTGATATGAATGATTTTTTTCACAAGTTTTATAAATTTTTGTTAAATAATAGATGAATAGTTACTGAATTTTTTATAAATGGTCAATAAACTTTTAATGAATAATTTAATGAATAGTTTCTGAATTTTTAATTAATAGTTAATGAATTTTTAATGAATAGTTTTAATGAATAGTTGTCAAATTTTTAATAAATAGTTGACAAATTTTTGATGAATTATTAATAAATTAATGCTAAATTTTTGTTGAATTGCTAATAAATAATTTTGTGACAAATTTTTAATGAATTTTTGCTAAATAGTTAATGAATATTTGCTAAATAGTTAATAAATTATTTGATGAATTGTTAATGAATTTTTTGACAATTTATTGTTAAATTTTTAATTAATAAATTTTTGATTGCCGAATTTTTAATTGTCAAATTTTTGATTGCCACTTTATTATCAAAATAGTAATATGCTGAGTGGCAGCAATTGAAAAGAATTCGGCAAGATTTTTATTATTGAATTAAATCAAATTTGACAATAATTCAACTACCAAATGACATAATTTTGACTAGTGAATCTCTATAAAGATTTGATTTTCTATTCTTATTTTTGTTAGTGTTGATAACTGATTGCTCATTATTTTGATTTGTGATATATGTCGTTTACGCATGTTCATTCTGTATTTTTTTTTCAATTAAGTTTACTCATATAATATAATTAATAATTTATAAATATAAATAAGTATTTACATATTTGTATTCTTTCCATGAATAAATTACTGATAGTGGCTTTTCAATATTAAACTAATATGTCAATCGTAAAAATGGTATAACGAAATAATATACGCGCGTGTTCGAATTTCTTATATCGTGATTTTTAAAAACTATTTTCCTATATTGCAATTCTTAAAAATCTAGAAATCGCTATTATGCAGTATGGAATTAAAGTATTTATGAGAATACACTAACCAAATAACTAGAGTAACAGACGAAAGCCACCATACAACTTGTGAGAAAAAAAAAACTTTGTATATTGTAGTCAACTAGATAATAATTGATTCGGTGAAATATTATTAGATTCGGTTGTAATTGCAGAAAAGGTTAATAATCTATTGTGATCGGATTATAATTTATTTAATTTGAGACTCCCAAATATGGTCAGGGTTGGAATACATTGCACGTATAAACCATTTGGAAACCTAACAAATATTAAATCATCGGATTTATTTAATAGTTACTGTGCTGTACAAGATAGCGTATGAAATGATGGAAATTAATTGGATCTAATAAGTGAGTATTTTATGCCCTTGGATATACAGTACGTAACCTTTTTGTCTGAAGATCAGAACTACCAATGAAAATAAACCACAAAAAAAATTACCGTATCATTCGAATTTCGATTTTACAAATTTCCTTAATTACGATCGTCACCGTGTCGATGAGGTTATACATAGTTTGCTTGCTTATTACTTTGTAATATTTCATAAATAATAGATGAACCACAGGAAACTTCCCGTTTAACAATTTTAAATTAAATTAACTTTGTCAAACAATAATTAAAAAGAAATTTCAGAGAGCACGCTTTCGCTTGGCGACATTTGCTACGCATTGAGTCAAAACATTACCGAATCAATTCCAAAGTTCAATTTAACCATCACGCACAGTGTACAGTACATGGACATGTACAAGGAAAAAATATAAGCGAACTTATATGACATTACATACGAATAATGGAAATCCGATCAAGAATGTTTGTAAATATTATTGATTGTTAAATATTTATAGTTAAATCCGGGTGGGTTTCATTTCCACAATGTTTAACCTACAGGCAAAATTTGTGGTATAATTATGAAGTGCGGTTGGAGACATGATCGTCATCACTCCACCAGTCAGGTTATTAGGATTGCGCGTACCCAGTTTTTGCATAATGAACGTGATTATTTGACCTTGGTCTTTTTTTTTTTTTGACCAATCGCCATTCCCCTCGAGAAACAAATTCCTCATGATAAACAATGTACTGTACATATGTAAATATTAAATTATTATAACACCGGATGATTTCTCGCGCATTTGATCAAAGTTTATGAGCATCGCATGCAGGATTAATCACATTCATTATTCGTAACTCACAAGGGAGAGGATTCAAGGTCATCACCGTATTCTTCGATCTTTATCAATTGGCAATATAAACAATGACCATTTGTAGGCATAAATGTTTGACAAATATTTACCTTTTGTCGAGCGGAATTTTTTTTTTATCTGATATAATAAATTTACGTGAGCATTCTAATGAAATGCCACCAAGGAATGTTATAATGCGGTAGCATTTTCACGACTATTAATTAGGTTCTTTTTTTTTGTTTCTTCAAAAGACTGGGGAAAAAAATGGTGTTACTTTGGTAATCTGCACTTGGCTGGCCTGTATCATATTTAACACGTATAAATCCTGGCGCTTCTATTTGGAGTGACAGGCTGCCTTTTTGACGCTGAAACATCTCTCTCTGGCCAATCTATCCAAATATTTGCGAGAGAACAAATTACAAGAAGAGCCATGGAGAGTTTTTGCACAATAGGAACTGTTGAAGGATGCGGTGCAACATTGGCCGCAAAGGACAACCGCCATCATGCTTCATACACTTTTACCTGATTCGTTCGTGCGTGTCCCACTACATCAATGCATGCCTCCACAAGAGATTTAAGGAAATTAATTAGGTTAATGCGATCACGTGCGGCCGAAAATTTTTTTTTCGAAAAACGAGTTCCTAAAATTTCTGATTTCAAAGATGCCGAGTTGCAATCGTACTACAGCGTGTCTACCAAAAAAGGTTTTCCTACTTCGGTGTTTTATAAAACGGCAAGTTGCCTCATGAGATACCCCTTTTTCTATCAAGTGGATTTTTCCTCTTTCACTTGGTTGCATAGAATTTTTGGAATTTCATTGCTAGAAAAAACAAAAAAAAAAAAAAAAAAAAACAAACTTTTAATTTAACGAAAGAGGAATATTGATATATAACGAAGGTTAAAAGTAACTATTTACAAGTTAAAAAAATAATATTAAAAAATTTTATAAATTAGTAAATTCTGTGATAAGCGATATAATTAAATTTTATCAGAAAACCATCCATCCGCTTTTAAACGGATACAGTATAATTTGTGAGTATTTGATGAATTCTTGACTGGCGAGCGTAACGAATAACTCACGAACCCTACCCTCATTGTAATTAACCTATACCTCTGCAAAACAGGTTTCACCTAAGGCATACAACCCAATAATGTCTGGCATTTCTCGATTAGATGCAAAGCATCGAATGGACTCCGGTGCATATTGCGAGTCGTGCATAAGGTGCGGTCAGCGGTTACCATTTAGTCAATGGTGCCAACATTGCGAAAAAAAGCAGTTCCAAAGTAATTTTGGCACTTGGACAAGCGGAAGCGAGAAATTGGATAAATTGATTAAGAGCTCTCAGAATAAAGCCAACTCCGCCACCGACTACATCGAATGGATTCCCTTTGGTAAATTGGACGACGTTAAATTTGTCGCCTCGGGTCAATACGGAAGTGTCTCCTCTGCAATATGGATGGACGGACCTCGACTGAGTTTCAACAACGAAACAAATTCTTGGGAGAGGACCGGTCCAACAGTAGTGGCCCTGAAAACGATCAATGACTCTAAACATTTGTCGGCTTCTTTCTTTCAAGAGGTTTGCATTAACTCTTCCTTATTCCCTCGGCAATTATCTGACAAAATTCGCACGCTTATTTCCATTCTCATATAAACAGCTTAAAGGCTTTTACAACAACTCAATTGAAAGTAACAGAATCGTTCACTGCTATGGCATTTCACGTGACCCTAAGACAAAGAATTATATCGTGGTCATGGAAAATGCAAACCAAGGATCCTTGTACAATTATCTTGTCAATAACTTTGCAAACATCACATGGAACAGGAAATTAAATATTATAAGCGATATCGTCCAAGGACTCAAGAATATCCACGAGGCAAAACTCGTTCATCGTAACCTTCACTGCGGTAACATCTTGGTGCACTCGGGAAATAGGATTCGCGCAGCTATTGGAGATGTAGGGTTATGCCGTCACGTCGAGAAATCAAATAAATTCTTCGGCACCAACGTTTTGTATGGGGTGATGCCTTATATTGCTCCCGAAGTGTTGCAAGGGAGACCCTTCACCAAGTCCTCCGATATTTATAGCACAGGAATGTTGATGTGGGTGATAACTTCGGGAAAACAACCTTTCGAAGAAAGGAACCACGACTTCCAACTTCAACTAGACATTTGCAATGGCTACCGACCAGACTTCACACCAGATACCCCTCAATTTTACCAAGATCTCATGGAAAATTGTTGGAATCAGAATCCTGACAAGCGACCAAATGTTCAAGCGTTGTTCCTCAATCTTCGCGATTTTCTTAATGGTTCACCTGATGTCAAGGAGCAACTCGAAGAGGCTGAAAAAATAAGATTGGAATTGTGCAATGATCGTATGGTTGTAACCACGCCATCAACCGCGCATCTTACCAGTCGTGAAATTAAAATCATACAGGTTTCTCCGACCAAGCTTAATCTCGAAATTTACAGTAAGCATGCATTAAATAAATGCGTACTCTAATGCCTAAGGAATTGTGATTTTTTAACATCGGATCGCAATAATTGATGCCTTCGTGATTTTTCTTTTCTTTTCTTTTTGTTCTAGACATCAAACCAAAGTCACACAAGAAAATCAAATTTGGTCTGAAAAAGCCTGAGCAGAGCCTCGCGATAAAAAACGAGAAGTTTCATATTCACGCGGATTCGACCGGTTTCGATGACATTTCTAACCCCATTTCAATCGTGACATTACCTGAAACGTTCAACAGCACCTCTTTGAATTTGGAGTTGACCGGTGAGTTCACTTCATAAAAAAAAAAAAAAAAAAAAATCGCGTTCGTGAAAATGTGTAGATCCCTAAATTTTCCATTTTTCTCAAATAGATTTCACCAAAAAGTTAAAAAAGAACAAGGATCTCAAGAAACCGGAAAAAGATCCCCACATACCCGACCAGAGATCGTCTTGCAATTGTGTCATCTTGTGATAAAATGGGCTTATTTATATTCGTGTGCGATTGCGTTTTTTTTTCAAATGTTCCTTCATTTCAACAAAAGCATCACATTATTGTCACGTCAAAAGCACCACTTTACTAACTGCACCTATTATAAACAAACAAAAGAGAGTATTGTTATAATTTTTGTAATTATATAAACATTCCATAGCTTTTTATGTAATATTAATAAATTTTTTTTTGGAACTTAGTGTTCTCGCGAAATATGAGAAACTACTTTTTTTTTTTCCACATTTATATAATAGAGTAGATTTTCTTTATTTTATTTTTCCTTTTTTTTTTTTAAATTTTTTTTTTTTTTTTTTTTAAAATTTTTTTTTTTTAAAAACTTTTTTTTTAAACTTTTTTTTTTTTTTTGTAATTAAACTCTTTATCTTTGATCCATTTCAGAATTTTTATCTTAGTTTTTCTTGAGATCAGGCAATCTCGAGTTAAATGTTTAATTTAGGACATCATATGCAGTAAAATCATGTCTTTTAATCTTTTCATAAACCAAACGTGGTATAATCCAATGCATGTTGTAGTGACAAAGTGACGTCGAACGACTCGAAAAGCTCCATGGTTTATTTCTTATTATTGATCACAATTTTCGAAAATCGATAAATTTATTCATCACGGCGAAACAAAATACTTCAATTGAATTCTACGAGGCATACCACTAATCATATTACCCGAGTTTCAATTAAATGTAACCGTTAATTCAGTTTTGTTTTATACTGTCGATGCTGCCTAATTACGTATTTCGGACTGTCTAGTTGCATAAACCTTATAATATTATGCACCTCGTTGAGTATTTGTAATTTTGCATGGATAACCATCGAAGTGCATGTCAACGATAGACGCACATGTAGGCGTATTTGCAGTACACTAATGCGTAAATACCCTTTATAAATAATTTTTTAAGGTTTCAACACAGCCCATATTCTTTTTCATTAAATAAAACATTCTAATTGTGACAAAAATAGAGGCCTCCCAATTACCGTAGTCATTGAAAGACACTCAATATCAGACTCGACATCTTTGTCTCGTAACTAGGTTTATAAAAAAAAAGCTACGACTAAATAATAATAGATTGCGGATTTTAAAATAGATACGGCATTGAAAAAAACGAACATTTTTTTTTTAAAAAAAAAAATATTTATTTTTATTTTTATTTTTGAAATTTATCCATTCGTCTTCGTTAAAAAGCATCTCTGATTTTCATAACAAGAAAATATATGCACGGTGTATACGGTATAATATGGTCACCTCATATATACAAATAATTACGTTTATTTACTCTATTGAAATATTATTTTACATATTGATTATGCCGTAGCTATCGTTACTATTTTTTTCTTGATTACCTATATCAAAGTTTATATAAAAATATTTTTTATAGTTATCCTTTAACTTGATTAATAATAATTTGCAGTTGTTATTTGTTCAATTTTGTTTATTGATTTTAATAAATTAATAGGCAAATTTGAATATCGAAATTGCAAAAAAAAAAATTAAGATTTAATTTTTCCTTTATATCATTTATTTTATTAAACTTCCTAAAGCTTAGTAAGTTTATTCAATAGTTACTGCATGTCATCGAACCTAAAAGGTTTATCAGCTAGCTTATTATCACTTCAAACCAGAACAGAGCTAATCTGCCAAGATAAAGTAAGCACTTATTTCAAAAGAAAAAAAAAATATTAGTATTATACAAAATAAATTCTTGGATGTTTATTAATAATATCTATCTATCTTTCATAAACTATTTAAACTAGATAAAAAATTTTACATTTGTATTGTCTTTCTTTTTTCGTAATGATATCTTATATATTTTCCTATTCTTAAAATATTTTATATTTGTTTTTCTATGAAATAAAATAAATTCTTTTCTTTTTTAGATGTTTATAAACTTTTAATAATAGTCATTTAAAGCTTGTGTTTATCATTTTTCAATTATCGAGAAATATTTTCTAAGTTTTGAAAAAAAAATTATGAACTAGGTTCAAAAATTAAAATTTTGTCAAATATTTGTATTTTTTTTATTATTTTATTATTGAATAAATTGGATTGATGATACCTTTCTTTCGTTTGTTTTTTGTTGTTTTTATCTTTGTTTTTAAGCAAGTTGTTTATTATCATTCTTATTAATAAAAGAATAAAATAGTTATTTGATAATATCCCTATTAAATTATTCTTAAAATTATATATATTGTTTAAAATAAGTTTAAATAATATTCAAATATAGTTTATTTTACTATACAAATATTATTAATCTATATAAATATATTAGTGTTTTTTTCCTATAAGTTTTAAACTTTGGTATAATTCAAATCATCTAAAAAAATAAAGAAATTTATTTTAACTTTTATATAGTTTAAAATTTTTTTATTAAAGAGTAATCAATCTACTAATAAATTAATAATTGTATTAAAATCTTTAACAACTATAATTTTGAAGATTTTTTTTTTTATTTATTTAAAATTTTGTTTTAAAACAATTGTTATAATTATTAGTTTTTAGCTTATTTAAATAATAAATAATTTTTTTTTTTTTTAACCCGCAGTCAGGTCAGCATGGCATGTCTTTATTGTATATATGCTAGGTATTTACAAATTAT